GAGAAACTGAAAACTAAGATATCAAACTCATATATGAAGGCAGTGCCAGCTCATTGCTTCTTCAATTGCTGGCAGGACAGAATTTCTAAGAGCTTTCTAAGAGGTAGAGGTAGTACATCTGACCCCTAGGTTTGCTGGTAATGGCTGAGTGAAGGATGGTCGTCGCCCCCCCGCTTTGATTTGCCTCTGCCAGGCTGAAGCCAGAGGTGTTGACAGGTGATTGAGGGTGGGTGGGAAGGCAGGGCTGGGGTACTTATTTTCTATTTGCCTGGTTCCCTCCCAGCAAGGCTGCGGCTGGGGAGTGGGCTATTCCTCTACTTACAGCTATTCTTTCTGTTTCCCCTGTTGCTAGTCCCTGTGTGTGCCACCAGCCCTTGTTGGTTCCTTTAACCCTCAACACTTTTCCCATGGTTAAACTTTTGAGTAGGCCATTTGCTTCTTGTAGATTTCATTTTCCCTTAGAGTTATTTTAATTGAAATTTTTATTTAGATGATTGAAGATTTGGGTGCTGTTATAAGAAATAATACATAGAGATCCTGTGCACCCTTTACCCTGATGGTGATTTGGATTTGACTTGACTCGTTTGCTGGGGACCTGGTGGCCAGGTACAGTAGGGATTGGATTGGGAGGGCTTTAACTTCGTCCAGTGGATCAGTCCATTGATGAGATCATATTTTGATCGCTGGGAGGTAACGGGAACTGGAGGTGGGCCTAGTTGAAGGCGTGGGTCAGAGGGCTGTGACCTTGGGGATGTATCTGGCCTCCAGCCCCTTCTTTGCCTCTTTCCCCCATCCCTGCCTTGAGCTGAGCAGCTTTGCTCCACCATGACTTCTGTCCTGATGTCCTGCCTCACCGTGGGAGCCCAGAAGCCAAAGGACCCAGCACTGAAACTTCTGAAACTGTGAGCCAAAGTAGATCTTTCCTCTTCTAAGTTGTTTTTCTTAGCTATTTGATCACAATGATTAAAAACCAAAAAAAAAGAACTGGGGCCAGGGATTTAGCTCAATGGCACCGTGCCTGCCTTGCAAGCACAAGGTCCTGAGTTTGATTCCTGATACCAGAAAAGAGCTAATACATTCAGTTTCTGCCAATGATAGCTTCTTGCAAATTACTGTATACAATATCACAACTAAGATATCACCATTGATACATTTCATCCATCTTACTCAGCCCATTCTACCCCTATTCAGTGTGTGTGTGTGAACGTGCACGTGCATGTGTTGCTTTATACAATTTTGTCATGTGTTTAGGTCCATGCATGCACCATCACAATCGACATAGAACAATTTCATTCCCACAAGGACTCCCGGGGTTGCCTTTCAACAAACATACTGCCTTCCTCCCTCTACACCCACCATGTCCCCTTGCAACAACTAGTCCATTCCCCACTTGTAAGATTTTGTCATTTCAAGATATTACATAAGTAGAGTCAAGCAGTATGCAGTCTTTTGAGGTGGGCTTTTCTCGTTTAGCACAGTTGCCTGAATATTATGCAGGTTGCTTCATGTATCAATGGTTCATTTTCATTTCACAGTATTTATGTGTTGGAATTTGTTTAAACATTCACGTATCTGGGCTTTCTATTTTCAAAAATTACAAATAAAGCTATTATGAACATTTAAATAGCAAATAACTATGCTATTGCATAGACATTAGTTTTCATTTCTCTGGAATAAATGTTCGGGTGTACGATTGTTGAGCTGACTAGGAGTTCCACAATTTTTGTTGTTGTTGTTTTGTTTTTGCTTGGTTTTTTGAGACAGGTCATACATTGTATAGTTCAGGCTGGCCTTGAACTCACTATGTAGCTCAGGGTGACCTTGAACTTGAGGTTCTCCTGCCTTAGTCTCTGGACTGCTGGGATCACAGGTGTGCACTACCATGCCTGGCCCATGGTTTGTTTTATAACCAGCTATTATTAGCCAGCTGCACCATTTCCCCCTTCTTACCAGCAACATTTGAATGACCTAGTTTCTAGATCTTTTTTTTTTTGGCCCTGGGGATCCATCTAGGGTCCTTGCACTTGCACAGCAGGTGGCAAAACCACTGAGCTAAATTCCCAATCCTAGATTTTTTTGTTTTGTTTTGTTTTGTTTTGTGACAGGGTCTCACTATATAGTCTAGGGTGGCCTCAAACTCATGATGATTCTCCTGCCTCAGCCTCCCAAGGCGAACGCCACCATCCCCAGCATTCTAGATCGTTTTGGGGGGAGTTACTTGTGCTTTCAAGGCAGGCAGCAGAACAGCTGAGCTAAATCCCCAGACCCTTAGATCATTTTTGAGTTATACTAACAAATATGTTTTCCAGAGTTTGTTGTTGTTGTTGTTGTTATAATTGTTGCTTAAACTCCAGAGTAGGGGTGTCAAACAGTGGGTAAAAGAATCCTTTCTATTGGGATGGTATTAAATGTAATTTTTGTTTGTTTTTTAGTTTTTTGAGACAGGGTCTCACTATTAGTTCAGGCTAGCCTTGAACTCACTATGTAGCCTAGGGTGGCCTTGAACTCAAGACGATCCTCCTGCCTCAGCCTCTCAAGTGCTGGGATTACAGTTGTGTGCCACCACACCTGGCTTGTAATTTTTTTTTTTTTGTACCAGAGATCGAACTCGGGACCTTGCGCTTGCGAGGCAGGCGCTGGAACCACTGAGCTAAATCCCCGGCCCCCGGCTTGTAATTTTTTAAACATATATAACTTGAACTCAATGACCGACATTGTGGTGCCAAGTTGGATCACTGATTGTCAACAGTTCTCATCTGGTAATTATAGCCCTCCATTAGTCCAGCAATTACTAATTTTACTTCTAATTCTGTAGTATTTGAAGATACATGATTTTATTTCAGCCCTATGCTGTACATCACTTGTGACTTTTTGGTGGAAAATAAACAAAAAATCAACTCATGCTGGCTTGAACAATGGAGGATTTATGGGCTTACAAAACTGAGAAGTTCAGAGTTAGAAGTGAGGCTTCAGCTTTGATTTAAGCTTTGGTTTAAACATCCTGAATCTTTGAGTTTGTCTAAAAAACAAAGAAACAAACAAAAAATCTTTGTGATCTCCCTCCAGCTGATGAGAAAGCTGTTTATATTTGTCATTCCAGGATGGGTGGTAGCAGATCCTCAGGCTTTAGGCTTCATTTTTCTCCAGGAGGAAGAATGTAGCATCTTCCCCCTAAGATATTGTGGACTGAGGTTCATTCTAGTTACCTTGGCTTAGGCCACATGAACACCAAAAACCCAGTCACTGTGGCCAGCGAGACAAACTGAGGTAATGGTTGCAGCTTGGTCAAGTACCCTGTTTGAGGTATGTGGAATTAAATCATCTTTCCAAAGTTATTTTTGTTCCCAAATGAAATATATGATGCTAGAAAGGGTGGATGAGGTAAAAGAAACTGGAAGGTGTGCTTTGCTGGTGCGTTGTGGGACCTCTTCAAATGTTTGAGTAAAATTGCTCTCCTGGATTTTTAGAGTTTTTACATTTCAGATATTGTAATGTTTCTTCAAACCTCTTTACCTATGAATAAGGAAAATGTGCACTGAAAAGTCATAAAATAATTTTGTCACATTAATGTAGGGAAAGATACACAACCCTGAACAAGTCACAATTTGCATGTAATATCAGTATTTGTTAATGAATTTAATTATGGTTAAAAGCAGTCCCATCTAGAGAGGTTGGCTAATTTGCTTAAAACATATTTAAGCTATAAGAGACAGATGAGCGAAGAGACACAAGACTTTTGCTAATAATAACCCAAGCAGGCTGAGATCAAATCTCCACATCACATCTACCAAGTGCATGAGTTAGGGCAGAATTTGGAGCCTCTCTAAGCCTCAGTGTCTGAATCTGTAAAGTGCCAGCCAATAGGACAACTGACCTCACAGTGCTGCTGAGGAGAAAACCACAGGGTACAGGGAGAGAGTCTGCACAGGAGCCTTGCACACAGGAAGAGCATAGGGCATATTAGCTATAGTTGAAAACAAAGTCCATGGTTCTAATTTTTTTTTCTTTGGTACCAGGGATCAAACTTGGGTCCTTGTGCTTGTGCAGCAGGCAGCGAAACCACTGAGCTAAATCCCCGGCCCCATGGTTCTAATTTTTAACAGTGAATTAACAATACTTTTATAATTGGTAAAGAAATAAATACTGGGCCAGAGTGTAGCTCAGTGGCAGAGCACTTGCCTCTCATGCCAGACCCAGAGGTCCTTAGTTAGATTTCTAGAGCAATAAAAAAATAAATAGGAAATTCAGTAAGTGCTCGCCTAAGACACGGATAAAGAAAAAGCACAGAGAAGAGAAAGGGGAATATTAAGGTGGAGAAAGAAAAATACAAACACAGGGGCAGATGGACAGAATGCAACTGAAGGGAAAGGAAGATGAAATATTGCTCTGAAAACAGGCAGTGTGGCTGTCCCAAGTACTTGTGCAGAACAATGCCTACAGTGCTGGTGCCCTCAAAGACAAAGAAAGGTGTGTCTGCACTTCATTCCCAGAGTGCAGAAGAACCAAAAACTGTCACAGGAAACAAACGTTCAAAGATCAGAACACATAGTTTGCTTGGGAAAGATAGCTGGGCCCAAGCCATCCCTGGCACAGGAACGCTGCAGGTAATTTCCCTAATTCCACAGAGCCTGGGGCCAGCGCGGACGTTTGGAAAGGGCAATCCCCAGGACAGGGAAGCCCGGTTGCACACTGTTTTCTCATTCAGGCCCATAAAAGCCACCATGGCTGGGGCGGGTACCACTGCCCAAGGTGGACAGCACTCTGCACACCTCCTCGGGGACGGTGGAGGCCAGGCCCCGTGGCAGCGCGACTCACCCAGGGGCCACCGCAGGTGAGCAGTGGGGGAAGTAGCTGGAGGAAAGCGGGTAGCCCGGACCGTGGGGAGCCATGTCCCTGTGCACCCAAGCATCAGTCCTCTGGGAGAGGAAGGAGAAGCGGCACTGACCCGGACAGGCCCTGTCCCTGACTCCCTGACTTCCTTGCTGCCTGAAGGAACAGAGATGCAGCCCAGTGGCAGAGCCGCAGTGGCCGCAGTGGCCGCAGGGCTGTGGGTCATGTGCATGCTGGTCATGGCTGAGAACCTCAGGGTGGCTGAAGACCGAGGCATGGTGGCTCCCAGGCACTGCCTGCTGTCACACTACCACTCCCTGGAGCCCAGGGCACTGGCAGCAGTCAAGGCGCTGAGGGACAGCTATGTGAGTGAGCCCCCGCCCCCCTGGCACGGCGAGCCCAGCCCGGACCCGCCAGCTTTGGAGACACGGGGCCCTGTACTGAGGGACACTGTGTCCTCGGCCCGGAAGGCACAGCTCCTATCTCGGGCTCCCGAGTTCTGTGTCCCTTTAGAAGCACGAAGCCGGCTGTGTGCCAGGGAGGAGAGGGCCCCGCAGGGGACCCAGCTCCGTGTTGGGGCGCAGGGTTTGGCCCAAGGATGGCAGGGTGCAGGTCAGCGCCAGCTCGCGCCTTCCCAGAGGCGCTGGCGCAGACAGCGCGCAAGACGGTCGGCGGCCATCGGGGCTCGTCCGGGCAGGGCTGGAGGCCGCCCCAGGGCCCCGGGAGGAGCCCCCGCCTCACCCGCGCTTGTGCCACAGGAGGAAGAGAGGCCGAGCTGGAGGCCGCGCAACTACTCGGTGCGCGCTCCGAAGGATCCGCCGCGGCCCTCGGTGAGGCCGCGCCCGGTGGGAGGGGCGGGCCGGCGCCAGCCAGCCAGCTAACTGCTGTCGGGTCCCACAGTCCTGCGCTGGCCTCCGCCGCGTGGCCCGGAGCATCGCGGACGCCCAGGCGGTGCTGAGCAGCCTGCGCAGCCCCGAGCGCTTCCCGGGCACCGGCCCGACCCTCGAGCTGCTGGCGGCCGCGGGCGGGGACGTGGAGGCCTGCGTGAGTGAAACCGTGCCCTGGCCGCTGAGGCCCCCGGGGCCCGCGCGCCTGGCGCATCTGAGCGCCCAAGGCAGGAACCCGGCCGCGCCAGACTCCTGTCCTCCGGGCCGCAGAGAGCCGGGTTTGGGCGGGGGGCGGGGGGCCGCCCTGGGCGGGACGCTGCGGCCTTGGACTCCTCCTTGATCCGGATCCCCCCTCCAGCTGCAGCTGATCCGGCCAGGCTCCTGGAGGAGGTCCCCGCGACCGACCGCGGAGGAGGCGACCCAAGCTGCCAAGGGCGCTGAGTGCCATGCCGGGGCACAGGCTCGGGCAGCAGGACACCCCGGGGGAGGGGGCGGGATGGGACAGAGCACGGGGCTCGAACACCGGAGGGCAGTTTCTGGGCCAGGCGAAGCCTGACTCGGCCTCCTGCCCGTGTTCCAGGACTCGCCTCGCTGCCACGAAACCACTGTCTTCTTCAACCTCCTGCGCCTGCTCACGCGGGACCGCAGGCTGGTGGCGACCTCTGGGCCCTGCATCTGACAGCTGTCGGGCTCCCCAGGACTCACACACTCCACTACAGCAATTGGCTGCAGCTCACGGGATGGGCGTGTCGCTCAGCCAATGGACACTGAGGCGCGAGAGACTCTCTGTCACCATTGGCCAGACCTCCGTGCACCTGCGCTGGACACAGGAAGCACGCGAACTTTTCCAGAACCAGAGACCTCAGTGCCAGGGAAGCAGCGCTGCTTGCCTGGGCTGAGTTGCGCGAAGCTGGGCCAGGATGCGCGTGGAGAAAGCGACTGGAGCTCTGGGCGCAACCGTGGCTGACTCCGCCTCGTGAAGATCAGTCCCAGCTTCTGGGATTACCGGGAATCTCGCCCCTCAGCTGCTGGTCCCAAGCCGCGATGTGAACTGTCCCGTACTCCTCTGAGATTCTGTGAAGCTGTCGCTTTGGGTCTCCAGCAGAGGCGCCCATTTCCTTGGTTCTGACTTTCTTTTCTTTTTGGTGTGGGGCAGGGTCTCCCTGTGTAGTTCAGGCTGGCCTGGAACTCACGGCAATCCTCTTGCCTCAGCCTCCCCCGAGTGCTGGCGCTACAGGCGAGCACCACGACACCTGGCCTTCCTACGGGCCGTGGTAGTGCAAGGCCGAAAGAGCCTTCTGTTGCTGTCATCTGTGGATACTGTTACACGTGTGTTGCTCGCATTTGTGAAAATCCCGTGGGCATTTCCTCTTCTGCCTGCTGGTGTTAATTTATTACAGCGATTGAACACTGTCTCGTTTGTCCTGGTTGTTTTCCCTAGAATCATTTTGAGGTGCACTCTACAACAAAAAGGGCCCGGCTGGCAAATCGGTGATGTCATTGATCAGAGTGTAACTGTGCAAGTGGCTTCTCCCAGAGCCTCACTATCCTCCTCAATGAGACGAGGGTGCTCTCCTCCCTCCTGCATAAATGGGCCATTGTATTGTTCCTTTGCATCCAAACATGTGGGTGGCAATCTCTGGAGCTCACTGCACACCTAGCTCCCAAGGCCCCAAGGTCCCGCAGGTCAGAACTAGGATGAAATCTGCTCTTCTTTTGCTCCAGAGCCCGAGTTCTTCCTTAAGTGAACTTGCCCTCTAAGAGGAACAGGGTGGGAGGAGGAGCGCAGTGGTAAAGCACACACTGAGAATGCGCAAGGCCTGTGAAAGTCACCAGCAACACACGTGCGCGTGCACACACACACACACACGGAGGAGGTGTGAGTGTGACTTGCAGCCTGTGACACTGCACAACCACAATGGTGCAAAGGCTCCTACAACCAGCATTGAGGCCCTGCCTTGGAAAGAGGCTGGACAATGCACTGGACAGTGAGGTGGGCCGATCCCGCCCTTCCTTAGGAAATATTTTTAGGAATCAGAGCTCCAAGAGACTGAAAGTGTGCGTCCCTCCCAGACATTATCAGTGGGGAAAAGAAGAGAGTTGGAGTGGGAAGCTCCAAGAACAATGGCTTCAGGATTCGCTCCCTACAAAGCTCTATCCCATTACCGCGTACACTATATGCCATGAGGCTGGAGCTGAAAACTCCTTGTTAAATGATGAAGACCTTAGTTGCAAATTAGCCTGGTTCATTGAGACCCTTGGTGTGACTGCAATTCCAGAGCAGAGCCTCATTCTCCTGGGTCCTCAGTGTCTTAGACAATTAAGGGAGATCTGTGGTGGATGGGCCACCTCCCCAGGAGTCCTCTCAGGGGCAGATGGGAAGGGTGGACAGACTCTCACTCTCAATCTTGGGGTTTCCCCCCTTCAGCCCCTCCCAAGGCAGCCTACTTTCTGGGCCGCATTCCCACCCCACCCAGCCCTCTGGGAAGGTTCTGATTCTCAGGAAACAGGTGGGCTCTGGGGGGCACCTTCCTCCCTCCCTGCCTATGCCATCTTGCACTTCAGGCCCCTATCCAGCTCTGCATCCCAGACCTAGCTGTCCCAATCCTTCCCTATGTGCTGAAACTGCCTCAGTGCTGAGGGTTCCTCACTGAACTCGCTTCCAGCCAGGTGAATCTGATTCCCTGGGCAGTCTTCTCCCTTCCTCCTGCTCACCTGGTCATCGCACTGCCCCCTCTGGGCTTCTCCAGCCCGGGGCACAGCTAGTGGCCAGTGAATACGTCAGGCTGAGTCTTAAGTTTACACACATCACCTGGGACTGTCCCTCAGTCTAGGATAAAAGGAGCACCATGGGACTGAGGCAGGAGAGGCATTGTGGACACAGCTGGACACCGAGAGACACCTTGTCACAGAGGAGCAGGCCGAGATCCACACGGGAGACTGAGGCTCAAGGCTCCAAGAACGGCTGAGGTAGACACCAGAGCTGGCAGCCTCCAGTGCACATTGGGTCTCCATCTGCGACAGAGAAGGGAGAGCAGGATGAAGCCAGGTGAGGAGCACAGCCTGGTCCATGAGGGTCCCCTCCCCATGGCCCTTCAGCCCTGGGCTCCCGACGTCACCTTCCTTGCTGTCCCTCTGTGACACAGACCCCGCTGGAGGTTGCGTGCTGCTGCTGCTGCTGCTGCTGTGCACTGTACAGACCAGGTCAGGGGAAGTTCCTGTCCCCAGACCCCTCAGTGTCTCCCCGGATGCAAGGGGCTGCCACGTGGCCCAGTTGCAATCTCTGTCCCTAGAAGAGAGGCAGGCCTTCAAGACAGCCAAGGAAGCATTGGTGAGTCTCCCCTCTGCCCCTTCTGTGAGCTGCACTCCATCCCGCCCCCCATGTGTTATCAGGTCTAAGAGGGGAACCTTGACCTCCCTGTGCTGGCTAAGCTCAAACTTCGCCAGACAGGTTTAACCTCCACCCTCCGTGTGGTAGGCTCACCTCCATTCTGACTCCTGTGCACCTTCTCGTGCTCTTAGTGCACTGGGTCAACTATGTCCTCGGCAGTGGAGGTGGCTCAGCCATCCCCTAGAATCAAACCTGCCACCTTGGTACATGAACCATCCTCCAACCCCACCGCACTGTCCCCACACCCTCCTGGGGAGCTAACCTGTGTCCTTGTTGTCTAGGAAGAGCGGCGCCTGCTGAAGGACTCCACCTGCAACTCGGGGCTCTTCTTCAGGGCCTGGGACCTGGGGAAGCTTCAAGTGAGTGGAGATCAGGCCCAGCCAGCGCTCAGTCGGGCCCAGACATCGGCCTTGTATTTGGCCCACTGGCCTTCTCCTGTGTCCCTCTCCGTCCCTCTGCACAGGTTTCTATCAATTCTTCCCCATCCTGGCCCCTTATGTGGTTTTTCACTTGTGGCCCGACCCGTTCCCTTCTCCCAGTCCCCTGTGTCCTCCTCTCCTCTGTTCTCTGTCTCGAGGATCCCTCCCTGTGCCCATGTCCTTGACAGGTGTGGGAGCGCCCCATGGCCCTGCAGGCTGAGCTCTCCCTGACACTGAAGGTCTTGGCCTCGGTGACAGACCAGGCCCTGTGGGGCATCGTGAAGCAGCCGATTCACACTCTGCGTCACATCCACGCCCAGCTCCGGGCCTGTGTGAGTTCTCGGGCCGCTGTGCACCTCCTGGGCTCTGAACCCCGCCCCTCCCTGTGTGCCAGCCCCAGCTCACAGTGCCCTCTCTGCCCCCAGGTCCCAGCTCAGCCCAAAGCAGCCCACAGGCCCTGCAGCCACCGCCTGTCCCGATGGCTGCAG